TAGAAAGTAGCAAGCCAATTTGGTGTCGTTGTTTATTTTTCCCAGTTTTATTAACGTGTAATGGACATATAACATTATAGAAATTTAAGATATATAACATAATGACTTGGAAATACATATCAAAATGATTTTCATAATAAATTGGGTTAATATACATTAGTTAATATTCTTTCTCTGTTTTTTCTTGTGTTAGCAATAATAATAATAATAATAATAATAATAAATAATAATAATAACAATGCTATTTTGCAGTGATATGAAAACTTTTGGTTGGCAAGTATATTTACTAATATAATCTCATTGCTGTTTTACAACCAACAGTGCAATTTTTTGTATACTTATTTTTTTTAAAAAAGCAAGAAATAAGTAATGTAAAATGGCTTCATAGACAGATGAGATTAAAAATGGCTTTAAACCATTAACATGGGACAAAGAATTGAGTTTCTAACAAGAGTTGGGAAAGCAAAAATTCTCTTTTCCTGCTCCAGATTTTTAATGGTATCCCCTCTACCCTTTCATTCCCATACTCTCTCATTTATCAACTAGAGGCCTGGTGTACAAAATTCGTGCACAGGGGCGGGGTGGTCCCTAAACCCAGCCTACACCCTCTTCAATCTGGGACCCCTCGGGGGATTGGGCCTAAACTGGCAGTTGGACATCCCTCTCACAATCTGGGACTGCTGGCTCCCAACAACTTGCCTGCCTGCCTGATTGTCCCCTAACTGTTCCCCTGCCAGCCTAATAGACACCTAACTGCTCCCCTGCCAACTCAATTGCCCCCAACTGCCTTCCCCTGAAGACCTGGTCCCCTCCAACTGCCCTTCCCTGCAAGCCTGGTCATTTCCAATTGCCCTCTCTTCCCTGCAGACCCGGTTGCCCCCAAGTGCCTTTCCCTGCAGGCCTGGTCACCCCTAACTGCCCTCCCCTGCCAGCCATCTTGTGGTGGCCATCTTGTGACCCCATGGGTGTGGCCATCTTGTGTGTAGGGGTGATGGTCAATTTGCACAGTGCCTCTTTACTATATAGGATTCTATCCTTGTTATGGCCTGAATGTTTGTGACACCCCAAAATTCATATGTTGAAACCCTTATTCCCAATGGGACAGTATTAGGAGGTGAGGTCTTTGGGAGATAATTACCATAAGATAATGGTAATGAGGGTAGAGCCTTGAGTAGGATTAGCGTCTCCAGAGATCTTGCTTTGCTCTGTTCTCTGAAATGTGAGGACACAATGGGAAATTGGCCATCTGCAACCTCGAAGAGGGTCTGTATTATAACCCAGTTGTGCTGGGGGCCTGGTTTTGAATTTGCAGCCTCCAGAACTATAATAAATAAATGTATTTTGTTTATAACCACCCAGTCTATGGTATCTATATATTGTAATAAAAGCCTAAGTGACCATTATGAATGAACAACCAGAAGGACTAGTCAACCATTCCCAATGACATGCACTGGCCCCCAGGGGGCAGACACTCAATGCAGGAGCTGCTTCTATGTGGTTAGTGAGCTCCCACAGTCAACCTCCCACAGCCACCCAACTTCCCACCATCCCTATCCTCCCCTCCAGCCAAACTCCTGCATCACTTCCCCCCTCCCTGCCAGCCTCCTCATCAGCCCAACTGTGGGGACGGCAGCTGGCCAATCTCCTAGGATCCCTCCCTCTGGCTAGCTCTTTCTCAATAGGCTTTGATCACCAGCCAGGCCAAGGGACCCGACCAGTGCACGATTTTGTGCACATGGCCTCTAGTTTTATTATAGTAGTCTGAATTGACTTAAGATTATTTTCACCATCATAAAGTTTCACGTTCTTGCTACATGAATGGGTCAGAACAGAGCATTTCAGAGGTAGAGCTGTGGAGCTACTGCAGGCTCAGGTTTCAAAGCTGAGGGAGAGTGTGCTCTGGGGTCCAGACAGCCTATGGGGAAGCCTGGGCTGTAGCCACAGACTCTAAATCAGCTTCCAAGGCAGTGGAGAACAACCATAGAGAGGAAAAGCCTGTGGTCAGAGTGACCTGTGGTCTCTGCTTTCTTGTTTACAAGTTGTGTGATATGAAGCATATCAGTTTATCACCTTAAGCTTAAAATTGGGAATAATAATAAGCACATCTACCATAAAAGCTACTTAGGACAATTAACTGATATACTATTCTATACATATAAAAAGCTATATATATATAAGATTATTTCACAACTGAAATAACCGAATGAATGACTGAACAGCTGTGTGGGGCAACCAGACTGGCAGGGGGTTAGTGAAGGGCAAAAAAAAGGCTAAGCAGCAGGCTGTGTAGGACAACCAGACCAGCAGGGGGTTAATGAGGGGCAACCAAACAACTGAGCAGCAGGCTGCATGGGGCTACCAAGCCTGCAGGGGGGAAGTTGGGGGTAATCAGACTGGCAGAGGGGGGCAGTTGTGGGCAACCAGGCCAGTGGGGGTGGGGTTGTTGGGGGTGACTTCACCTGCAGAGGGGATAATGAGGTGGCCAGGCCAGCACAGGGGGAAGTTAGGTGAGATCAGGCAGGCAGGTGAGCAGTTAGTAGCTAGTGTTCCCAGATTGTGAGAGGGATGTCCAACTGCCAGTTTAGGCTTGATCCATAGGACATCCACTGAATCTATGATAGTCGGACATCCACCAAGGGGCTGAGGGGACACCGCCCCCCCCATGCACAAATATTATGCATCTGGCCTCTTGTATGTAAATAATAAAATATCCTGTAACATAAAATAAAAAGGAGAATTAAAGTTGTGAGTGGTGTGGAGGCACTACTTGAAAACCATTTATATACAAAACAAATTTTTAAAAATTATATTTATGCTTGAAATAAATAGTGAAAAAATAATATGTATCAATATAAGATAGAGGGAAATAGAGAGCTAAACAATAGGGAGAGTTTAAAGAAATAGAAATACATCATGAGAAAAATAATACATTTCAGAAACAGTGAAAAGAAAAATCAACACTGCAGAAAGAAGGCAAATGAAAAAGACAAAGAAATGAGCTGTGGTGACAAATAAGAACAGAATGAGAAAACCAACCAATGGGTACTTAATTTTTTTTTTAAAGAACTAATTCGAATAGTGCAGAGTATTACTCAAAGAAGGGGAAACATTCTCTGAGTTGAGGATTTGAATCTGCTGCTAAAAAGGAAGCCCATAGAGTATCAAAAATTAATGAAAAGCCCAGCCAGTGTGCTCAGTGGTTGAGTGTCAAACTAGGAACCAGGAGGTTATAGTTTGATTCCTGGTCAAGGCACATGCCCAGTTGTGAGCTTGATCCCCAGTGGTGGACATGCAAGAAGCAGCTGATAAATTATTTTCTCTTTTTCCTTTTCCTTTCCACTCTGACATTAATTAAAAATATATTAATGATCAGATGAGTGGATTAAAAAACTGTGGTACATCTACACAATGGAATACTATGTTGCAATAAAATAGAAAGAACTCTTACCATTTGCAAGAGCATGGATGGACCTGGAGAGCATTATGCTAAGCAAAATAACCAATCAGAGAAAGATAAATATAACACTATCTCACTCATTTGTGGAATGTAATAAATAACATAAACTGATGAACAAAAATAGATCCAGATTGACAGTCAAACCTCAGAGGGAAGGCAAAGGAGGGTTGGGGGCATAAAAGATCAACCAAAGGACTTGTATGCATGCATATAAGCATAACCAATGGACACAGACAGTAGGGGGGTGAGGGCATGTATGGGGGGGAGAGGGGGAAAGGAAGGCAGTGGCTAAGAAGAGGTCAATGGGAGAAAAAGGAAACATATGTAATACATAAAACAATAAATAATAAAAATAATATTAATGAAAATAAACCCATTTTGAATAATATTAATAAAATAAACCTGCCTGATGAAGTACTTGAATTTCAAAAATGACCATAACATTGCACAGACACATATAAACAATCATAAAAGCATAATGTGACACAAACAACAACAAATAATCTGTCAAAAAGAGAAAGCAATTATACCTGCCTTGGACCGCTCTACAGAATTAAACTTCAAAAGAAAGAAAACAAAATTTTCAGAATTTTGATTAATTTAGGAAATATTTATGTGCACTCTTATTTATTTCCCTAATATCTTGGTGTAAAGGTAGTTAATAAAAATTTGTTAATTTTAATTAAGAAGGAATAAACACAAGTGAGTAGAGCAAGCTTTAAAAAAATGTCTAGATATTTTTAGTTTTTTTTTTAATTAAGTTTATTGGGGTGACATTGATTAAAAGATTGTAAAGTTTTCAAATGTACTTTTGTTGTCTGAGATAACAATATTATTTCCATTCTCTTCATGTTGAAACGAATGAAGGTTGTTTCTAGTCAATATAGTAAAGTCATTGATTTGTTCATGAAAAATCTGGGAAGCATTTTCATAATCTATCAGCAAATACCACTAGCATAATATCCAAAATATATCCTCAATCTGTCCCTTTTTCATCAGTAGCAACAAATCCACACCATCATATCTCACCTTGGATGTGAGATATTAAGAGTGATTTTCCTACTTCCACCCTCTCCCTTTCTTTACTCCACTTCCATTCAATTCCCACTTCTACAACATAATCTATACGGCTGTACAATTCCTTGTCCAATGCTCAGCACTAACATGCCATGCTTGCCCTACTTCAGGACACTTATACGTTCTATTCCCACTGTCTGGGATACTTCAATCTATGCTCTAATGCCATTCCCAAGACCATGATTTATGAAGCAATGTGTATTTTCCTCACTTTCCATCCCAGTTACTTTTTTTCTTTTTCATAATACTTAAATTATTTTTCTAAGATGATCTCATTTTCTTGTTTATTATCTTTTCCACTCCAAATAGATAAGCTCCTTGTCAGTCTTGTTTGTTCCTATATGCCAAGAACATAGGTTAATTTGAGACACATATTTGACTGAACAATAGATTAAGTGCATAAATGGATGCTTGATCAAAGAAGAGCAATTGGTTAGTCTCAATACTTTCCTACATAACTAACTACTCAAGTTCTGAATTATTGTTCAAAACTGTGAAAACTAGTTGCTTTTATGTATCTCCTTTTCCTTAATTTGGAGTGTTTGGGAAAAGTCCAATTAATAGAGATGATTTGTAACTTGTGTTCTGCAAGAGGAATCTGAAGGAGTAACTTGGATATTAGAAGGGGGAAAAATATGTTCAAGGTGACACAATATTAGTACATTTAGTAAAGTCTTTATTACTCCTTATAAATCTCCACAGATATCTGATTGAGACAGAGTGTGCTAGCAGAAATTCTGATATTGAAAATCAGTTTACAACAAAGTTATTTCATTTTGCTATGTGTGTCCAAAGAATGATTGATAAGAGAGAAAGAATATGAATGAGGAATGAAGGAAGGAAGGAAAAGAGGAAGCAAAAAAAGAAGAAAGGAAGGAATGGAGGAAGAGAGAGTATGGGGATGGGGGAAGAGAAAAGGAAGAGAAAGAAAGAAAAATTGTTTCATTTTTACATCTGGACCAAATTAGAAAACCAAATGACATTCTCTAGGTTGGATTCTGAACCCAGAAAACTGCAGTTGTGGTAAGCACCACATTATTTTTAGCAAGCAAATGAGGGAAAATCACATCTGTAGTCCTGGGTTCTGTAAATGCTAGTGGGTTACACAGATATCTTAGGCCAGACAGTCTTCAGAACTATAAAGTATTGTTACTGGTGAAATGGAAAATTAGAGTTAATGAAGTTTAAAAACAGTCACTTAAAAAATTCCTTTTAGCAGACTGAGCTAGGGTTTGTTTTGGGATTGGCTATGTTTACTCTAAGCATGATGTCTTAAAAGCCTTCTTTGGTCATATCAGACTGTCCATCTATTGAAAAACAATATATTTTTTTAATGAAGTAATGATTTCTGAGTATCTAGATTATTTTCTTCAAAATAAATACTGTCTAGGCATGAAAATGAAGGGAGATTTGCTTGAAAAATACATGATAATATTTATCACATTGTTTGGAAATGTGTTAGAATTTGTAAAATATATAATTTTAATTTTGTATAATATATTTTCTCAAATTTGAATCAAAAAGTATAATGTCATTTTAAAAAATTACTATAATTTCCACAATGTGAAAATTAAAAATTTTTAAGGTTTCATCCAAAATGCTCACATAAGTTTAACAGGCAAATTCTTCACTTTATTTTTGATTGGGATAAGAGTTATAAATAAGAGAGAGAATTAGATCATACAATACAATACAATACAATACAATAATGAATCTTACATTAGCACTTAGGAATTATTTATTATTAATAATTAGAAATTATCTATTTCTGAGACAATTATTTTGATAGTAAGCTGTGTAAAATTATGATACCAAAACTAAAAGGAACCTTTATTTCAAGGAGATAATTGTTTAATGATTTAATTTTAATTTGCTTCTTTGTTGGGTAGTTAAGCTTGATGCAAATTCGTACTATTATATCAATGCAAGTATAAATTATGAAATTTTGGCCAGATTGGAGTGTCTCAGTGGTTGAACATTGAGCTATGAACCAGGAGGTTGAGATTCAATATCCGGTTGGGGCACATGCCCAGGTTGTAGGCTCAATCCCTAGTAGGGAATGTGCAGGAGGCAGCCTTGATGATTCTCTCATCATTTGTGTGTTTTTTTTCTCTCTCTCCCTCTCCCTTCCTCTCTGAAATCAATAAAATATATATTTTTTAAAACCTCCTACCCTGTAAAGAACATTGTGATAGAGTCTGCAGGCACTACAATGATAACAACATAAATAGCAAGCATGGTTGTCATTGTTGGTGGATATATATACACACAAACAAAAAAAATAACAAAATAAAATTTAAAAAGGCTAATTGAAATAGGTGCTATGAGAGGAACAAAAGAGTAATTACTGAGACTGGTAGGTAACATGCTGAGAGCAAAGCCCAAGTACTTATGGGTGCTACATAAGAGAAAAATCTGAAGTGAGTTGGGGGTGGTGGAAAGGGATATGGAAAACGTGAGTGACAATATTGCTTATTTCAAGAATGGTAGAGCTGGGAAGTCATGGAATATGGAAGCAAAGGTTTTGTTTCTGAAGCCAGAATTTCTATAGTTTGTATTTCACTTAGTTTTAATAAGCATCAGGTCAAATTGAAAAGGCTTCTATATTGTAAATCACTAAAATGTTAGTAATCATTATTATATTTGTTAAGAATGGTAAACTGGTGAATTTATCTGGGTATCATGACCATAAAAGACTCCTTTAAGAAACAAGGCATTAAAATAAACTACTGATGGAGCCCTGCATATACAATTGGATGCGTTTAAAGAAACCTGATTAGACCTTGAACATTAGAATTCAAATACAGAATAGTATCTTGGACATTTTTCACCAATTCAATAAAAAAAAATGGGACAGGGAGACCAGGAAATTTCATTTATATTTGAACTCTGACTCCTTTCTCGGTGTTATCTTTTCCTTTCCACATTTTGTAATATTCTTAGACCAAAAGTGATATTTGGCATTGAGAAAGGGAGGTATAAGGCTCAAATTAAACCATATGTTAATTATATTTAAATAATACTTTGCCCTTTTTATAAAGGAATGTTTCCCAAATATGTACTATAAGAGTATTCCTTATGCCAAAGTGGAAGTAAGCAAAAATCCTAATAAATTGAACTATGAGCCTTACCTAATAAAAGAGTAATATGCAAATTAACCATCACTTCTCTCAAACTACACCCACCAGCCACGCCCACCAGCCAATCAGAGCAAGCATGCAAATTAACCCTAGCCAAGGTGACTGCAGTTACAGAGAGCAGTTGAGAGGCTTGGGTTTCCCTGGCAACAAAGGAAGCAAAGCTTCTATAATTGAAAGTTTGTATCCTTTCCATAGCAGGCCTAGGCCTGCACTCAAGGATACAAAGTTTCAATTATAGAAGATAAATCTCAAGAGAAATGGAGGCAGCCACGGAGCTGGAAAGAGCAGGCTAGAGTTGCCCCCAGCAATGAAAGAAGCACAGCTTTCCACTTGCCCTGGGTGGCCCAGGCCTCCACTCAAGGCTACAAAGTTTCAATTGCAGAAGATACATAAATCCCAGATTCCAGGGCCTCCTCTTGGGTCACTAGGGGGCGTGGCTGGCCTTCAAACCACCACAGGCCCCTCACTCAGGCTGCCCCACGCCCCAAGGGAACCCTCACCCTGATCTGGGACACCCTTCAGAGCAAACCAGCTGGCCCCCATGGGTGCACCAGACCTCTATTCTATCTATAAAAGAGTAATATGCAGATGACCATCACTCCAACACACAAGATGGCTGCCCCCATGTGGCCAAAGATCTTGCTCCCATGTGGACACAAGATGGCCACCACAAGATGGCCAGCAGGGGAGGGCAGTTGTGGGTGATCAGGCAAGTAGGGGAGGGCAGTTGAGAGGGACCAGGTCTGCAAGGGAGGGCAGTTGGAGGTGATCAACCCTGTAGGGAAGAGCAGTTAGGGGTGACCAGGCTGGCAGAAGAGGAAAGTTGGGGGCAAACAGGCTGGCAGGGGAGCAGTTAGACATCAATCAGGTTGGCATGGGAGTGGTTAGGGGTGATCAGGCTGGAGGCAGAAGCTGTTAGGGCAATCAGGAAGGCAGGCAAGTGAGCAGTTGGGAGCTAGCAGTCCTGAATTATGAGAGGGATGTTCGACTTCTCATTTAGACTCAATCTCTGTGGGCCTAAACAGGCAGTCGGACTTCCCTTGAAGGGGGGTCCCAGATTGGAGAGGGTGCAGACTGGGCTGAGGGATCCCTCCCCCCTCCCCCCATTGCACAAATTTTGCGCACTGGGCCTCTAGTCTAAAAATAACAGAAATTGCCTTCTTTTGTTTACTTCCTTGTTCTTTTCAGTCACCATCTGTATGGACAGCATATGTTTTAAACACTAAACACATGGATACACATGCACATGTGTAATAGAAAAATAACACGTTTGCATTTGTTGCAAAGTGATTGAAGGAGCAGTAAAGGGAAATATAATTGAGAAGCAGGAAAGAAAAGGTGGACAGAGGGGAGTCAGCATTGATAAGGACCCTCATGATGTTCATGGACAAAATTACATCAGACAGTTAGGGAAGTGTTGTCAGTGATTGCGATCCATGATCCAGCACAACAGCACAACTGCTTTGCTACTTAGATATTCATCTTTTAATTTTTATTTCCAAAGTGGCAAAATGAGATTATGAATCATTTAAGGATTCCACTCTGAGTCATGATCATGATGTTCAGAGAAATAATGTAGACTTTGAGCTCTCATGCCTTCCCTCTCTTGGTTGCCCGGATTCGTTCACATCACTTCTGGGAAGAGCAACCCACATAGCCACAAGCAAATTTCTCAGTGTACTTTGTAAGTTACTCCAAAGACTTTTCCCAGAAAAAAGCATTAACCAGACGCAGAGAAAAGTCATTATAACTTTATTTTCCCTGGCTTCCAAAGGAGCATTGAGTTCACAATTTGGTGATGTAACAACTTAATTATACTACTAATGATCGTATCTCAATTCACCTTCCTAACTGGATCCTAAAAGCTTAAAAGTAGAAAGTTTAAGTCTCTAATGTTAGATATAAATTAAGAGATACCATGTGGCATGGCTATACTTGATTTTTGAAAACTTTCTGTCAAACATATTAGAAATCATAGATTTAAAAGGCAGAGTTTCTTCTAATCAAACACACATTTAGAGATTTTATTTCTATGAGCTTCTAGTTCAACAAAACAGTTTTGTAAACTGTTGTAGGCAGAATAATGGCTTTTCAAAGATGTAGACTTTTTCAATCCCAGAAGTTGTAAGTATGTTAGATTTGGTGGCAATGAGGAGTTAAGGTAGCTGATGGACTTACGGGTGCCACAGCTGACATTAAAACAGGGAGACACCCTAGCTTATCTGGGTGGAACTAATGTAATCACAGGGTTCTTAAAAGTGGGAGAAGGAAGCATAGGTGTCAGTGTCAGAGTGATGTGCTATGAGGCTGGCCACTGCTGGCTTTGAAGATGGTGGGCTGAAGAGACGCGGCATCTCTAGAACCTGAAAGAGGCAGGAGGATGAATGGTCTCTTAGAGCTTCCGAAGGAATGAAGCTCTGCTGACTCCTTGATTTCAACCCAGTGAAACTCTTTTGTGGTTTCTGAGCTCCAGAACGGAAAGATAATGAAGCTTTCCTGTTTTAAGCCACTCAATTTGTAGCAATTTGTTACAGCAATGGTAGGAGACTAATACTGAAACTCATCTAGGTCCCTTCTCCTCCTCCTGACTATACTCCAGGCATTTGACCTTAGTGTTGTTACTCCAGAGTCAACCACCCTAGCAGGGATTTGTTTTGGAGTCATTGCCAAATATCAGAGTTACACAAAGCCAGCCAGAGATGGTGTGAGTTAAATCATTGAGAATTTAACATCACCACCCCAGAGATAAGAGGCCAGAAACTCAGAAGCCACAGGGATTAATCAAGAAGTTATCAGAATGAACAAAAGAACCAAGTTACAGATCTTACTAGCCACTCCTTCCTTACCTCAATCCCCTGACACCAGGAAGATATATGTCCCCCAACCCAGATACCATCTTGTGGAAGATAATGGTGAGGGAATTAAACTCTGGAAACTAAAGGAATCATGTGAATTGAAAGAGACTGCTTAGCTGAAATCGGTTTGGCTCAGTGGTAGAGTGTCGGTCTGCGGACTGAAAGGTCCCAAGTTTGATTCCGGTCAAGGGCATGTATGTTGGTTGCAGGCACATCCCCTGTGGCGGTTGTGTAAGAGGCAGCCTGTCGATGTTTCTCTCTCAAAAAAACCAATAAAATATATTTAAAAAAAAAAAAAAGTCAGCAGACTTAAAAAAAAAAAGAAAGAAAAAAGAAAGAGACTGCTTAAATAGAGAAAGTTAAAAAAATGACAATTAGTAAATTCAAATTCCTTCCATCCACAGTTGGTGAAAGTGAGATTTTTAAAAATTAAAAAATAAATATTCAAATTTTTCTTGTACATCTGAATATAGTTTATTAATTTTCAGCCAATCTAAAATGAATAAATACTCTGGCCTAGCTCACTTCCAGACTGGTCTGAGTCCATATCTGACCAATAAAAATGTTCCTGAAGACAGGGTTTTGTTTTTAAATCCTCACCAGCTGATGTGTGTATTAAGTTTTTAGGAAGAGAGGATAGGAAGGAGATACAGAGAGATACATCGATCAGCTGCCTCCCATATGTGCCCTGACGGGGAATTGAACTGGCAACCTTTTTGGTGCATGGGGATGACAGTCCATCCAACTGGACTAGCTGGGTGTGGCAGCCTGATATTTTTAATGTCTTCCTCAAATTTGCACTATCTGTGGACCAAATTGATAGGCAGGAAGCAGATCCTTCTGAACACATCTCTGCTTCCCTTGTGAGATCCTTCTGTTTAACTTGAATTTCCTCCATTGGAGTTGCACATTTTTCATTTATAAAAAGGGGAGAGAAACCATCTCCTGAAAAGATCTGAGAACTAGCATACAAGTTATAATAAGGCTCTTCAATTAATGCAGGAGCCCATAAAAAATCAGGCATTTGGAACATGCGATCATTATTACAAGATCATGTTATGCAGGGGGAATTCCCTTCCAGTTATTAACATGAACCCTCCAAATTTAAGAGTGATCCTATTTCTACTAAAGGGACAAAGCTGGAAAAATAAATAAAAAATAACTTACCTACTGCCATCTGATTAACCAATCACCTTTGGTGTTTGTCACACACTTCAGTCAGGATGTCTTAGGGAAATCTCTTGGAACTCTGCCTTCCTTGAAAGTCCCTTAAATGACTTTTATCAACAGGCAACTCTGAAAATCATTGACTTATTCAAAAATTTTTAACTTATTTTCTTTTTTATTTACTTTATTGGGGTAATATTGGTTAATAAATTTATATAGGTTTCAGGTGTATAATTCTATGGTACATCATTGCATATTATATTGTGTGTTCACATAAAGTCAAGTCTCTTTCTATCATCATTTATCTCCATTATACCCTCATCTATCTCTTCCCACACCCCTCTTCCTCTGGTAATCACCATAATGTTGTCTGTATCGATAAGTTTTTGTGTTTTTTTTTTTTTTTTCCTTAATTCCTTCACCTTTTTTCACCAAGCCCTACAATCCCCCATTCCCTCTGGCAGCTGTCAGTCTGTTCTCTATCTGTGAGTCTGTTTCTATTTTATTTGTTAGTTTATTTTGTTCCTTAGATTCCACATATGAGTGAGATCATATGGTATGTGCCTTTCTGACTGGCTTATTTCACTTAGCGTAATGCTTTCCAAGATTTGAGTTTGGCCAACTCTAACTAGAGGACACAAAAGATATGGCTTTTTTAAAAACATTGAAATGAATATTTGAACCAATAATTAACTGCCAAAATTGCTATAATGTACCTGCCCATTTTCTTCTTGAAAACTTAGAAGTACTTCTACTGATGTCATGGTAATTCCATTGTTGTGCAAAGGAAGAAATTGGGTGTGGGTTGGAATATAATAGGTTCGGGTAAGTATCTAAACATATATATTCAGCAGGAGGAAAACTTAGAAACACACTATATATAGTTTTCAATATTGAAGTAATTATCGTAAGACATCTTTGTGGTTTATGAATAAATCAACTACAACTTGTATTTTAAAACCCCAGTGCTATTTTCTGAAATTTTCTTCTGAAGCTTAGAAAAAACTAACTTTGGAAAATGTGTATCATCTGAAAGTGAATTAACTACATTTCTTACAGGTCAACTATTTCCTTGCAAATATAATTGAGGAAGGATATTTGTACTGAAAGATACGTATTAAATTTCAGGACCAAGGTTTTCAACACTAAAATAATGAATAGTCAGACCATTTGCTGTAGAGTCAGTTTATTTTTAGTGGAACCAATTTCATAATGAATCAACATTATGTCATTTGTAAAACATGCTAAATGACTTTACTACTAAAAACACTTTAGGATTATATAATTCTTTAAAACTTTATCATTTTGATGAGGATATGCCTCCTAGGAAAAATTTCATTTGTAATAGGTTAATCTCAAGATATTTTTAATTTTATATGTTGTTTATACATAGTTTGAAGCTTCAATTAAATGAACTCCTTGAAAAATAATGTGTTCTGAACCATTATAGAGTTAATCAGAAGGAAACGGGATTTATTTTGAACTTTGGCTATCTCTGAAGCCTATCTATAAGTGTATTTAGCCATGGGAGCTAGTTGGTTCCCCTTATAAAATCTTCTCCATCCCTCTGTACCTTTTAAAAGCTTTCCTTCTTCCCATAATTGTGTAAACTATTCTTGGCTTACCAGGTCATCCTTCACTTCTTAATGTAAAACTTTCTTCAGTATATCTGATGCTGCTGTCCCATGAAACAATATCTCGTTCTTTTAGAAGTTTCCACACAAAATCAGAACTGCATCTTTTTTTTTTTTTTTTTTTTTTTGCTTTTCACCTTTTTCACCTAAACATTGTGCTTCTTGAGGACAGGGGCTATTCTCTTTTTAAAGACATTTATCTGTGGACAGATGATGAATTATGTGTTTTTTCTTTAAGGGGCAAATCACAATTTTTGAAATTGTCTTATATTTATTTTATAGTTTTGTCTTGATTTTCATTTGAATTGCCTTTTGGGAAATAGCTCCTTAAAATTATTTTCAGTGCTTACAATCTTTCAAGTTCTTATTAGGTCCTAGCTATAGAAGTTAGGAGGGAGTATTTAATGCAGTTAATGTATTACCTGGTTATATTATATTCAGGGGCCCAGTGCACAAATTCGTGCCTTGAAAGGAACTATGGGCCTTGAGGATGCAGTGGGCACAGGAACAGGTCTCAACCCATCCTCCATGCCCTCAATTGGCCCCTCCCGCCACAGCTCCCAGTCCCTGCCTGCTGGTAGCCTTGCACCCTCTGCCACCATGTCTCCCACATGCTGATGGCGCTGCCTCCACTCACACCCACTGTTGGTGCTGGCCCCAATCGCTCTGTGCTATCAGTGGGTGCTAGCAACAGCTGTCCTGATCGCCCCTCAGGAATAGGGGGAGGTGGAGAATCCCTCAGGGGAAATCAGGGCCTGCATCCCTGTTCACACTGCTGATGGTGCTGAGCAATCGGGACTCCTGTGGGGCCCCTGCAGCGGGTTCAAGCAGTGGCTCCAGTGCCAGCTGCAGGTGAGAGCAGGGCTGGCACTGGCAGTGGTTTGTGAGTGGCAGTGGCTCTGGTGCCAGCAGTGGGTGCAAGTAGGACCAGCACTAGCAGCAGGTGCAAGTGCCGGGCTGGACTGTGACACATGGGAGCAAAGAATTTTCAGTAACCGCCCAGATGACAGCAATCGGCACCCCACCTTGGTCTGGCGTCCCCACTCACTTGTTCTACCATCCCACTGCAGCTGATTCCCACAATGTTCTGCGTTCTGCCACCTGCTGCCGATGCCCACCATATTCCATGCATGTCCCCGGGTGGTCAGCGCACATCATAGCAACCAGTTGTTTGGTTGTTCCATCAGTCAGTCTTTTT